ATAAATATATTTATAAAATCTATTTGTGTCTTATGTGTTTTGTAAAATAACCATCATAGATTAAATCAGGATATTTTATTCCCATTTTATTCTCCCCAGTAAGGATATTTAAATATGCTGAACCACATATCAAATTCAAAAATACTTTAAGAAGTAATGTCCTTGTACATGTAGCTATAACAGTTTGAATAAGGTTTACAGCAAAAAAGTGTGAAAATCTGTTTAGTATTTAGCAAGTTGTTATTAAGTGTGCTGATACTTCATAGCGCCTGCCAAACATAACGCTACTCCAAGATGGCCGCCCTGTTAGCAACAATAGGCAAGAGCGGTGCATGACGGTGCGTGTGTGGTTGTTTGTTCCCACAGGCACAAACGATCACACAAAAAAGTGGATTTTATCAAAAAATAAATAAAAAATAAAATAATTTAAATTTAAAATCTTAATTACACATCAAGACTGACTGTGTGAATGTAGCCTTAGACATTGGGAGAAGCCAAGCGGACAGACATTACTTTGTCCAGTTTTCAGCAGCCTGCAGTAGTAATTCACTTTGTTGATTCTGATTTCCTGCAGGTAACCAGGAAAACCCAAATTGGAGCTTTAGCTGCACGTCTCCTATGAATCAAGTGGAATTAATTTTCTTGCGAGATGTCTCAATCACAGTGATTATTGTGACACCGATGCATTCACCCATTCATACATTTACACACCAATGATTGTGAGCTACATCGTAGCCACATCTGCCCTGGAGCAGTCTGACAGAAGTGAGGCTGCCATGCACAGGCACCACATGTTGGGCCCTCTGACCTCTCTGTTAAACTGCCTCGCCTGTGTGAGTTTTCATGTGGGCAATTAAATAAAGGTTCTTGGTAAAACCCTTTCCACAGGTCTGACAGGAGAAGGGTTTCTCACCTGTGTGAGTTCTCATGTGACGAGTTAATTGACATTTTACTGCAAAGCTTTTTCCACATGTAAGACATGAATATGGTTTCTCCCCTGTGTGAATCCTCATGTGGAACTTCAGATTACCCTTTAAACTGCAACGTTTCCCACAGATCTGACAAGAGTAAGGCTTCTCCCCAGTGTGGGTTCTTATATGCTGAGTCAAACTGCTCTTCATGATGAAACGTAGTCCACAGGTCAAACAGGAAAAGGGCTTTTCACCGGTGTGAGTTCTTATGTGTGTGAGCAAGGCACTTTTCTGATTGAAACTCTTTCCACAGGTTTGACACATAAACGGTTTCTCTCCTGTGTGTTTTCGTGAGTGAACTTTGAGACCTGGTTTCTGAGTGAAACTCTGTCCACAGATCTGACACGAGAAAGGCTTCTCTCCTGTGTGACTTCTCATATGACTAATCAAAGTACCTCTGGTACTAAAACTTTTCCCACAGGTTTTACAAGCATAAGGCTTCTCTCCTGTGTGAGTTCTCACATGAGTAGTTAGCTGACTCCTGCTAGCAAAGGTTTTGTTACAAATTTCACATGGAAAGGGCTTCTCGCCGGTGTGTGTTCTCATGTGAAGAGTTAAATTCATCCTTTGAATGAAACTTTTCCCACAGGTCTGACAGGAGAAAGGCTTCTCACCGCTATGAATCTTCATGTGGTTTTTTAGATGACTTTTGAGAATGAACTTTTTGGCACAGGTGGAACAGTTAAAAGGTTTCTCACCTGTGTGTGTTCTTATGTGTGCTATCAGATACTTCTGAGTGAAAGTTTTTCCACAAATTTTGCAAGATGACAGATTATAATTGGTGCCACTTTTTCGGTGCCTTTTTAGTTTTGTTTTGCGACTTTCCTTGTCTTGCTCAGACTCTTCCGTGCTGGATCCAAAGTCGTCTTCATTGCTTTCTTCCTGATTCTGGTACGCGGCCTCAGCAGAGTTCTTGTCCGTGTTTGGTTCTGGTTCTTTCAGGTCATCGTCATCAGAAACAGGACCCATAAAAGCCGCCGGTTTGAGGTTGCTGTTTGGTTCTGGCTCTCTGGGACAGTCCTGCTCAGGAACAGGACTCACCTTGAAGGTATCCATCTCTTCTTTCAGAACCAGTTCTGCATTCTGACTGACACAAAGCTCATCGTGTTCCTCTTTGATCTGCACAGATTCTACTTCCTCCTGATCCAAATGCACCTCCGCCGCTGGGCTGCAGGGCTGCTGGTCCGTCTGAACCTCCTCCTCCTTGCAGATGTAATGCTGCAGGACGTCTGCAAGCAAAACAAAGGAAACTGATCAATGCGGCTCAGAACAACGGCACACTTTATCCAAGCCACACCGGAATGTGACACCATGTTATCAGAAGCTATCTGCACTGGAGAGGACTCCTGTGTTGCGGGTCTAGAACTAACCAAGCCGACGCGACTCCAGCTGATAACCAAGCAGCTAGTAAAGCAGCTAACCATTCCCTGTGTGTTGCCACAAGTTTATTTTCTCAGATTTCACTCGAGTGTTTGAGGAGGAAAAATAAACTTTCACAGCGCTCCGATGTAAAGATGCAAAACAAATATTTATTCCACAGTTTTGCGTAATTGTTTTACAAGAGCACCTGGTTCTTAGCTAACCTCCACAGAAAACAAACTACGGTTGAAAAACCGTGTGGCTCCGTCGATCTATTTGCAGCGCCTTCCCTTGTCTGTTCTCTCCTTCGTCATCACTCCAGCGCGGTACACCTCATTTGCATAAATTGCACAGTGGCCAATTAAGCTATGAAACATGCAAACATCTAATAAAACACTTATTCACAATAAAACATTATGAAATTACCTGCATGTAATATAATAGTTCTACCTAAACCTCAACTACAAATACACTTATTGAATTACTAATTAAACAACAGTAACTGAATATTTTCTACATTAACTTGGCCTCCACACCCTGGTTTCGCCCCCCACTGCTCCCCTCTGCCCACCTGAGCGCTCCCGCTCCAAAACAACAGTTCAAGCAGACATGTAAATTAAAACAACTAAGGTATTGATTTTATTGTGTTTTTCACTGTTAGAATCCCAACATGTTCCAAGAAAATGCCCACAGCATGACACCACCTCCACCAGCAGCCAGGACAATTCGTAAGAGGAGGAATGGATCCAAACGCTGATGGTGTTGGTCATGTGACACTGATGCAGTGAAGGATTGTGGGTTTCTTAACTGAAACAGAGAAATAATGTTAGAGATTCAGGATTCAGGAAACCATCGACGTCTGTGATGGCGAACAAAGGCTACAAATATGAACAATGATTTTCACTGATGAGCAGCAGTAACACACAAATAAATTATTTAAAAGTCATAAATTGTGATTTATGGATTTTTTTTAGACCATAGGTGGACACGCACCCAAGATGAACATTTCAGACCCTCCATGATTTCTAAGTGGGATAAAGTCGTGGGGTGTTCAAATACTTATTTTCCTCAGTGTATGTATTATAGGTGATCATCAATTTTATTGGATATCAATATCGGTCCAAATGTTCTAATTAGTGCATCCCTACTCTACAAGATTTGACCATAAATAAAGTTAATTTACATTCAGAAAAACAAACTGAGCCATGAAACACTTTGCAGGGGAAAGTAAAAAAAGAAAAGTGATTGCTGCTGCAAGGTCAAAGGTTAACAGCAACATTATCTCTTTATTTTTTAAGCTTAAAAGATTCAAAACCAATCAATCTGAAAAAAGAAAAAGTTACGTAAATGTAGATGTAATTAAAAAAACAACAAAGAACATTCATAACAACGCCTGCAAAAAGTATTCACCCCCTTCGACTTCTTTATCCTTTTACTGAAACAAATCAGTCATGACCAACAAAAACTGTAACCACCCATTAATGTTGAAGCAAAAACAGATTTCTACAAAATAATTATAAATGAAACCTGTGACATGAAATTAATGAGTTCATAAACATTCAGGCTCCTTTAAGAAGCTAAAATATCTACATGGGTCTGGTTGGCAGACAAGACGAAGGTTCTGGAGAGGCCTAGTCAAAGTGCAGACCTGTTCATAGCTTATCCCCACCAACCTGATGGAGCTGGAAGAGGAAATCAGATGAGTTACCATGACAACCCAGGTGATACATTAGATGTCACCAGGTGACCCTGAACCAGCCAATCACTGAACAGATGCTGAAAGCAGGTAGATGAGCCAAAACGCTCCCCGTCTGAACAGAAACTGAAGTTATTCAAGAGGAACGACGGAGCCACGCAGCTTCAGCTGGGACACCACGGAACCGTCCTGACCCACTGCATCAGACTAACCATGACCTCAGACAGGCAGAAACAGAAAGCCAAGAGAAAATTCTGGGATTTTCAAGACTAAAATGAAAAAACAATTAAGGAAATTATGGGAGCTGAAGAACCTTCACCCTTCTTTAACAAAAACAATCTCATGCAGCTAATACTTCCAGTATGTCATTTATTTATTTACATTTATTTATTTATGCGTTAGAATAAAGTGCTTCCATTGAAAATATCTAGTGTTTGTTTTCTTGGTCTCCAAATCTCAGAACACAGAAAATAATATTAGAACAAAGCTGGTGTAGAAACAAGAGGTCTCACTTTGACATAAACTCTCGGTCTGTGTTGCGATTTTGTTTTTCATCACTTCCGGTGGGTAGAGTATCCGGATATTTGACTGAAGTCCAAAGTACGGTGAAGGCAAAACTCCTAAATGTCCAGCTCTGGATGTATTTGCTGCCATTTAGGCGGCAGTTTGCCCTACAGTCTGAACTCTGCGCATTTTAACTGACCTGCAGCCGTTTATCGTGGCAGTAATCAGTATTTTAACTCTGACAGGTTCAGGTCTACTATTGTTTCAGATGAAGCCCCCTGTCTGTCTTACAGCCTCTGGCCAGCAGGGGGCTGCTGTACGTATCAAGCCTTGATAAATTCAACCCTAGGTCTCGTTAAACTTTATCTGCCAGTAAAACCGACAGCAAACTCGCTCGGCTCCGAACCTGCTCGCTGTAAGCTGACCCGGGGTCTCCAGGTGAGGTCCAGCAGTCTCCGCTGCCGGTCGATCTCCTCCTCGTACTGGACGATGGTTTTTTCCAGCTGGGTGAAGATTTCTTCAGCAGCAGCAGTTAGTCTCTCTCTGATAAACTCTCTCAGAGGCTCAACGGAACACATTGTTGCTGCGCAGACTCACAACACACCTGGACACGGCGACAGCTGCTAGCAGGATGCTAACCGAGCTATGGAGGCTAACGTTGCTAGCACCTTTGTTTTCGTCCACCGGAAGCCTTGCCACCAGTTTCCGGTGTGACGCCTGACTTTAGTCGGAGCTGTTTTACCAAACGGAGTGAAAAAACGTCTCAGAAAAAGCAGTAAAATAAGTTTTTCGGTATTATTTGTTTAAAACCCGATTTGCCTGTTAGACTTTCTTACAACTAATCCGAAAGATACCGTGGCTCTTCTGTGAACACAGTATTTAAGTCAAATAAATTAATTACAGGCAATTTAATACTTTACATCCCTCCAGTATGGAGTGATACTCCTTTGCATTGGGTTTCAGGTCCTCTCTGCCTTTGCAGAATCACAGAAACTCCATCCATTATTTTCTTTTTTTAGTTCTGCAGCTGACGAGCTTCGCTTCGTTCTCTTCTCAGTTCAACAATAAATAACCATAAATCAGATTTTTATTTCTCTAAGAAGCTGTGCATTATGCTGCTGATTGTCTCAGCAGCAGTCTAATAAAAAGACTCAATCAAACCCGGATTTATTTATTCTGTGAAATAAAAGCAACAGAAAGCAGCTGTGCACTAGATCTTTGCCTTTTTTACTCCAAGCTACCAAAATACCTACTCTGCTGGTTTGGGTGACGTTGGTGCTACGTCATCTGAAACGCAGCAATATCTGACAAGACCTATTATATTCTGTGATTGTCTATATTTCCATAACAGTCATAATATTAGTGGTCAAATGGTAGTTGTTATTCTTTGTTTGGCTTATTATTTATTTTTCCTTTTGTCACAATATATGGTGCTCACAGCATAGGCATAATATAAGCATAGACGCCTCAAGGACCGCTC